GGATGCACTCACTTCTCGTCCGGGATAATCCCTTCTGCCAACTTTCAGGTGGTCACTTCTTCCACTCTGGTAAATTTATTACTGTTCCTCCACCTACTTGGCATCTTCTGAAAATCTGTTGCAATATACTGTTTTCTGTAGTTTTCCCTACCATTCTTTTGGTCCTTGTGTGTTAATACTTTTTTAAAAAAATTCCTGACCTATCATTTCAGGACGATTTGAAGGACTGGGAGAGAAGATAAACACATGTGGCAATCATTCTTCTTAAACTTGAAGTAGATGCCAGGTTCTAAGATCAGTTCATAAGGTGAAAGTTGCATTTAGACAAAATTAATCTTGAACTCGTATCGTATGGAAAGAAAAGTATCTTTAAATGTTAGAATCCCGGGCTTCCCTGGTGGCGCAGTGGTTGAGAGTCCGCCTGCCGATGCAGGGGACGTGGGTTCGTGCCCCGGTCCGGGAAGATGCCACATACCGCGGAGCGGCTGGGCCCGTGAGCCATGGCCGCTGAGGCTGCGCGTCCGGAGCCTGTGCTCCGCAACGGGAGAGGCCACAGCAGTGAGAGGCCCGCGTACCGCAAAAAAAAAATTAGAATCCTAGTCAGCCTGGTGAGATGCTTTTACTCTGAGAGGCACCTGGGACCTTAGGCACGGGAGTAGTACTCCCATTTTATACACCTGTGGAAACACAATTTTGTATATTGGCATGGCAAGTGGAATTACCCATACTATTTGTTATTTTTTATGCTTGTGCTTTTTCCCCTTAACTTCTAAGCCTTTGCATAAATAAAATGTGTGCAAGATGATAAAATTAACTCTGCTATAGATTCTTAAACCTCTCTTTAAAGAGACAGTTTGGTACAAGAGATTCTAAGCTGAACATATAGGCAAGGTTAAAAAGTCTTGACACGGGGATGGTGAGTTGGTAGGTGCCAGCTAAAGACCAAGAGCTAAAAAGTGACGGTGCCTGAACTGGAATCGTGGGCTCTTTCTACCCCGTGGCCCCCACTTCAGAGTTTAGAATCAAATTAAAATTGGGGAAAGACTTTGAGCAAGGGTTGTTTTGGTTTTCCAGTGCATGCCTAATAATGCAAATGAATTGTACTTTGCATTTTTATTTATATAATTTGAAATAAGACATTTAAAATGAGATAATTGTATTGTACAAGCACTTTATGTTTTGATTGATTCAGTTTCTTTACCTCATTTAGTCCTCACAATAATTCAGTAACATAAGCATTGTTATTACCCTAATTTTACTGATGAGTAAACTAGGGCTTAAAGGGGTTGAAGACTTTCTTCAGGTCATACAGTGGCAGGACAGGATTCTGTGACTTTTATCACCACTGTCCTCTGAAATGGGGGGAATCTCTGTTTATTTAAACTCAAACACTTAACAGAATATGATCATAATGACCAATACTTAAGCTCCAACTGCCTTTAAAAGTACAATAAGTTCATACCTCTTGGAATAGACAAAATTTTAGGGGCAAAAAGGGGAGGGTCTGGAGGAAAGAATATTCTGGACTTGCCACTGACTCATCAAAAATAGGAGATTATGGTGACAGTGAACTCACAAAGATTTTTGAACATCAAGGTAACAATTTTTCTCAAAATATAGCTGGACTCAGAATCACACTGATCTGACAGTGTTGTTTTCTAGACGGAAACTTAAAGAAGTAGTCATTAGAACTACTTGTTTTTTTAAGGTGTCCAGTTATATTTCAACTTTATAGTGTATCAGATTTATCCATACTAATGAAAATCTTTTTATATACTGACAATCTATTCTAAAACTATCTAAAAATGCCAAATCTGCCAATGATGGTAATAGCATCATTAATTAATTTTCTCACTTAAAATAATAGCCTCCCCTTCCCTTCTCCCCCTTCTGGTCCAACTTTAAGATTTATTTCAATCCATATTTTCAGCCTACATCTGCTATCAGATATAGAAAAATGACCCAAAACCTCAAGTGATATCCACGCCAGCTATCATATGTAATGAACACACTTTTATAAGCTGGCCTTTTTATACTTCTAGTTGACAGATAACTGTTTTATGAACAAAAACATAAATAATTAAAAATCATTTTGAATCTACATAAAGGTTTCCATAATAAGCCTTTGATGTGATTATCTCATGCCTTTAGCATTAATGAAACAGAAAGATTTTTTCTGATATAAAATAAAATAATATTTGGTATCAAGTAATAAAGCTATTTCACTCAGAAAATCACTAACTGGCTTAACTGGGTGTGTAATAATATTACAATGATCAGTTTCATTATATGATACTTTCTTGACACATCTACATGTTTTGAAAAATCAGAAATGTAATAATAAAATAATTATAATGAACTACTGAAGGAAATCTGCAGAGTACAGTATTAAGTATATCCTTAATACTGAGCATAATTCAGAAAGCACTTGTGGGCTTAAAATATGGCTTCTTTAGAAATATTCCTTATTATGTGCATTCGGTTGGAAAAATATGTTATGAAAAGTTTGGTGACTTTGACATGTTGCCATTGCTAAAAATAGTATCTGTCAGTAATGTCCTGGTGCTTTCAAGGACAACAGTCATCAAAGATTTTTCTTTTTACCTATAGCATTGCTTTTGCATGTGAAATTTAACTACCATCCACTTATGAATATTACTTTTTAAGCATGAATTATAATTGCTCATAAAACATTTCTGGGAAAAGATTGCATTAAAGTGAAAATACACCACTTATCATAGAATAAACAATGAAGCTAAAAGATTAGTACAATTAAATTTAACCTAAGTAGGTCTTAAAACACAGCACTTTGCAAAGCAGTTTGACAATATATGTATAAAACAGAGCCAAGAAACTAGACATAAACTGTTGATTACAAGGAGAATACATGCAATCCAACGCCTTTGGGACTCTCAGTTCCAGTCACAGATACAACCTTTAAACATACGGGCTAAAAATTTTCCCTAAGATGATCTGTGCTAAGGCTTTATATATCTTAACATTTTTTTTTAGTTTTAAAATAATGGCCCAATTGTACACAAACAAGCCCGAGTTATGATTGCAATTTTCAGATTTGATAATTGTTTAAAGCATTGATGTTATAATGACACATCCATTTTTAAAGGCCACTTAAAAGGAATATTTAAATCAATAAATGGTAATGTTTATGTGTAATTGTGCCTATATGCTAAAAGTACATACAATTTAAAAAATAATTTAGTTAAAATTTTTCATTGAGGTAACATTGGTTTACAACTTTATATAAGTTTCGTGTGTGTATTTCAACTTCGTTATACACTACAGCGTGCTCACCTCCAAAAGTTTAGTTTCCGTTTGTCACCATATAGGTGACCCCATTTACGTATTTTGCCCTCCCCCCAACCCCCTTCCCCTTTGTAACCATTACTCTGTTCTCTATGTGTTTGTTACTGTTTGGTTGGTTTGTTCGCTTCCTATTATTTATTTGTTTATTTATATTCTACATATGAGTGAAATCATATAGTGTTTGTATTTCTCCATCTGACGTATTTCACTTAGCATAATACTCTCAAGGTCTATCTATGTTGTTGCAAAAGGCAAGATTTCTTCTTTTTTATGGCTAAGTAGTATTCTACTGTATACATACACCACATCTTCTTTATCCATTCATCTGTTGATGGACACTTAGGTTGTTTCCATATCCTGGCTATTGTAAATAATGCTGCGATGAACATAGGGGTGCATGTATCTTTTCAAATTAGTGTTTCTGTGTTCTTTGAATAAATACCCAGAAGTGGAATAGCTGGACCACATGGTAGCTCTATTCTTAACTTTTCAAGAAATCTCCATACTATTTTCCACAGTGGCTGCCCTGACTTACATTCCCACCAACAGTGTAGGAGGGTTCACTTTTCTCCACACCCTCATCAACATTTGTTAATCCTTGTCTTTTTGATAATAACCATTCTAACAGGTGTTAGGTGATGACTCCTTGTGGTCTTGATTTGCATTTCCCTAATAATCAGTAATGTTGAATATCTTTCATGTGCCTGTTGGCCATCTGTATGTCTTCTTTGGAAAAACGTCTATTTAGATCCTCTGCCCATTTTTAAGTCAGGTTGTTTGTTTTTCTGTGGTTGAGTTGTTTGTGTTCTTTATGTATTTTGAATAGTAACCCCTTTTCATATATAGGTTTGCAAATATCTTCCCCCACTTGATAGGTTGTCTTTTCGTTTTGATGATGGCTTCCTTTGCCATGCAGAAGTATTTTTTTAGTTTATGTAGTCCCATTTGTTTATTTCACTTTTGTTTCCCTGGCCTGAGGAGACATATCCAGAGAGATATTGCTAAGACAAGTGTCTTGAGCATTGATATTGCATAAACTGATGTCTGTGTCAAAGGGCATGCTGCTATGCTTCTTCTAGAAGTTTTATGGTTTCAGGTCTTACATTCAAATCTTTAATCCATTTTGAATTGATTTTTGTGTATGTTGTAAGAGAGTGGTCTGGTTTCATTCTTTTGCATGTGGCTGTCTAGTTTTCCCACACTATTTATTGAAGAGACTTTCCTTTCTCTAGTGTATGTTCTTTGCTCCTTTGTCAAAATTAATTGTCCATATATGTGTGGGTTTACTTCTGGGCTCTCAGTTCTGTTTCATTGATCTGTGTGTCTGTTTTTCTGCCAATGGCATGATATTTTGATTACTATAGCTTTGTAGTTATAATTTGAAATCAGGGAGTGTGATACCTCCAGCTTGTTCCCCCCGCCTCAGGATTGCTTTGGCTATTCAGGGTCTTTTGTGGTTCCATATAAATTTTAGGATTTTTGTTTTATTTCTGTGAAAAAATGTCACTGAGGTTTTGAGAGCAACTGCATTGAATCTGTAGATTGCTTTAGGTAATATGGACATTTTAATGATGTTAATTCTTCCAATTAATGATCACAAAATATCTTTCCATTTCTTTGTGTCTTCTTCAATTACTTTCAACAATGTCTTATAGGTTTCAGCGTACAGGTCTTTCATCTCCCTGGTTAAACTTATTCCTAAATTAAATAATTTAATCTTATCAAGAGGACTAGACAGAAATTTTTGGTCAAAAGGACAGTGTCCTCTAGGATAAAAAAATCCACCAAATAAAAAAGAAATTCACTTAGCATTTTTGAGAAATTCATTTCTTCATCATTAAAGCAAATGCATGTTAAGTTTTTCTAATTGAAAAATGTAGTTTATACCCAGAGATTCTATGAAAATTGGATATTAGATAGCCTTATATTAACATATCAACAGCTTATTAGTCATTTCTCAGGTGCTTGGTATTCTTATTTCTAATTAGCATCCTTTTATAACATAATGATCTTTTAATATCTTTGATATAAAAAGCTGGTCAGACTTAAAAAATAACCTTTATGGTCCTTCACTTTTTCTATTTAACATTTTGATCTCTGATATGCACAAAAGACTATAGTGGACCCTTGATCAACGTGGGTTTGAACAGCTCAGGTCCACTTATATGGTGATTTTTTCTCATAAATATGTACTACAGGACAACACAACCTGCAGTTAGTTGAATCCACTGGTGTGGAACCATGGACAGGAGGGCCAACTGTAAAGATATACTCAGAATATTTGACTGCGTGGAGGGTAGGCATCCCTAACCCCTGTGTTGTTCAAGGATCAACTGTATTTGTTTTTAAGTCATTTCATGGTGATAAGACTTGCTTCACTACTAAACTGTAAATGAGGTGACCATTCACAGTGATTAACAGCAAACCTTCTGCAGCCAGACTCCTTGAGTTCAAATCCTAGTTTTGCTACTTAATAGTTGTGTGGCTTTGATCAATTACTTAATCTCTTTATGCCTCAATTTTCTCAGCTATAAAATGGGGATAATGTTGATAATAATTCTTACCTTGTAGTGTTATAGAAGGAATTAAATGTATTAATACAGGTCAAACATTTAGAACAGTGTCTGGAAACTAGTAAGATCTAAAAAAAAATCCAAGCTATTATGAAAATTTATTCTTACAATATTTTATTGCCAAGATACTATCTCAGTCAGCTAGGTAAAAATCCATCTTAGTCAGTATCTCTACATTTCCTGATAGTTTTGGTGAGCTGTATCTGTTTATACATGTGATAAATGCCCTGTGTGACATTTCTTTCAGTTCCTGGTCCTTGACAAAACTACATCTTGTGTATTCACTGATTTTTTTTTTACAAGGGAATATATATTGTCATGGGGTGAATTCTGTCCTCTTCCAAAGATGCACTGAAGTTCTAACCCCCAGTACCTCAGAATATTACCTTGTCTGGAAATAGGGTCTTTGCAAATTTAATCAGGTTAAGAGGAGTTCATGAGGGTGGACCCTAATCCAATATGACTGGCGTCCTTATAAAAAGGGGAAATTTGGATACAAACACATAGAAGGAAGCAGATGTGAAGATGGCCATGTGCCTAGAGTGGCACATCTACAAGCTAAGGAAAGCTAAGGATTGTTGGAAAACACTACAAGCTAGGAAGAGGCAAGGAAGGATTTTCTCCTGTCAGAGAGAATCAAGGTCCTGGGACACCTTGATTTCAGATTTTTAGCCTCCAGAAGAGTGAGACAATAAACTTCTGTTGTTTTAAGCCACCTAGCTTTTGGTACTTTGTTAGAGCAGCCCTAGGAGACAAATACAGGTATCATATAGATTTATCTACATTCTAACTAGACACTGAGGAGGCTGCAATTAATCATTCCCTCATTTTTTTTCTTAAGGGTCATGAACTATGGATTTGAAGAAATAAATCCTTAATTTCTAGGTGTAAATGAACTAATGCAATTATTTTTGATCAGTGAGTGGAAAACAAGATGGTGAGTGACTGAACAGTGTCACAGCAACGTGATTGGGCCTAGATTTATTTCCATTTTCTACTGATATACTTTCCAAGGGATACCTTTATTAATGCTTTTTAAAAAACTACCACTGCTATCTTCTAAAATGATCTACTTTTATATTCTGGGAGACAAATGTACCTGTTAAATAAACTGTCCTTAGCTCCTTAAGTACCCATCACACTGATAGATTGATTTAGCAGGGAATTAATAGATCAGGTAGTTGAACTGCTTTACTTCTCACAGGAGGAAACTAAAGTCAAGAGAGGTTAAGTAACTCGGACTTGTGATGCACAGTCTAGAGGCTGTACTTATTATAACCTTTTTTTCTGCATCACATCACTAAGGACTTAAACGTAAGTTAAATCACATTTAAAAGATCAGATTCTTCTGGATCTTTTTTATATCCTCTTCATAGCTTGTAGTATTAGTGGCCTACCAAGGGGAAGTGATAACTGTTTATTGGGGAGAATGCTTGTTTGCCAGTTATCTTGAATCTGTAAACAAACTTGCTATTAATAGTTGAGTAGAATGTGGGTATATATGTGGGTATATATGACTTCCCTGTCCTTGTGATAGCCATAACACATCGAAGCCAGTGCATGTGAAGTCTACACTGTTTTCTAAAGGCAGAAGCCTTCCTTAGGGTGGTTAAGTCAGTAGGAATATTTCTAAATGGGGCATCAAGTAAAGACTGGTCCTGAGTTTCAGAAGCATGTAGACATTTTTAGTACGACCTCATATCCCATCATAGCTGACTTTGGAGGCACTGGGTGAGGAGGTCATGAGAAAGATCAACAAACCAAAATAAAAGAGAATCTAAGTAAAACTACCAAGATCAAAAAAAAAGAGAAAAAGGCATAACAGCTTTAATAAATGACTTTGTCTAGAGCTATTAGTCAATTCATAGCTCGAAGACTCAACCTGGTAATTAACAGTTTAATTAATATCTACTAATCTACAGTTACTTAGGGACCTCTCATCTTCAAATATTTGCTTCAAATATTATTAAACTTACTTTCTGCCAGAAATCATGCTAATTACCTTACAAAACTGTAAGAAACTATAAACATTATCCTCATTTTTACAAGAATGAAAATGAAGCTAAGAGAGTTTAAACAACTTGCTTTATGTTGCATTCTTAGCAAACGATTGGGCCAAGATTTAGACTTAGATCTAACTCCAATGACACTTGCATTCATGATCTAATCAGAAGGTTGATAGAATCCCTGACTGGGCATCTTTCCGTCTCCCTGCTGTTAGGTAACATATGGGCCCTCCTGCTGGTTAAGCACTTGGGTCATTCTCTTCATCTGAGGTCAGTTTTCAATATAATCCTTTCTTCTTTCAGGCCTTAGGGATTTGGTCTGCTTACTTTTCTTTTTTCCAGCTGTCACTGATTCTCCCTCCTGTGATTCATCTCCTACTAGAATTCTGGAACAGAATACAGATTCCCTTTTTTTTCCCTCTTTCTGTTATTTCTGATTAAAAAAAAAAACAATCTTCAAATTTTTAAGGAGAATCTCACTAGCAACTTCAAGTTGCAATATAATGATATTACAATTGCTTCTGTGCTTCACTAGCAAAAGGTTACTTTTGCTACTGATGTTAAATTTACTGTTCATAATTATTTTTGCATATGTTCTTAGACACTTATAAGGCAATAAGTAGAATTTTAGTTTGACTCAATTACAATTTCATAACCCTTGCTCTTTCTGCAGGCGTACAACTGTCCTGATTTATCTTGCTATAGCTTATACTTGAGAGATACTAAAAGACATTATTGAAGATTATATTATCAAGATTTACATCTTAAGAAATAACTAAAGACAAGAGACCTGAATATGAGGAAGTTCAGAAAACGCCCGCCTATTAGCCAACTTTGCCTTTACTGAGACTAGTATTTATGGAGCACTTCAAGTTCTAAATGCTTCTTATATAAAAAGCCATGATGATGATTATCTACACTTTACCGATGGAGAAATTGAGGCACAGAATCTGCCCAAGAATACTAGTAAGTGATGGGCCTAAGATTCAAACCCAGGTCTGTATAAACAAATGCATTCAGCAGATTTTCAAAAATGTGGTATATGAACACAAATCTTGAATATTATGTAAAGAACAAATTTCATTTTCTGTATTTTTTATCCTGCAGTTCCTCTGGATCTTAATTCGCTTTCACACTCGCAGTATCACCCGATGCTTTGGAAAAATGGATCTCATTTTACTTAAAAAAATTCTACAGTTAAATAATAGATGAAATGCTTTGTTAGTGTGGCTTTTTTAGTTTAGTCATTGTGAGGCTAGCTGGTTAAATAATTCTGTTGAGATCCGTGGTTTAAATTAGTATCTCCGAATGTAAACTCTTCTTAAAAACGTACACTTGCCACTTGTCTCCTGGGTTCTTTGATAAATGCAAGTGCATAACACATATGTGATAAAACTTCAGATATACCATCCATTTTACAGTCCTCTCTTATAAACTTTACCAGCTGAAATGTTCTTACTACCGTTGAGTGTTTTTTGGATGTATTCAATCCAGGAATACTGAATAAATTAATAAGTTTTATAGATTTGTTTTTAACTATTGTCTCTTTTTGAGGAAAAGGGCAAAAATGCCCCTCTTCCTAACCCCAAAACAAAACTGGCATTGACCTCAGAACTCAATATTTATGTTTAATAGACAGCTGTGTATAAATGTGTTTAGTAAACTGTGCATAGTTCTTTTAACACAATGGCTCTAGAATCTCAGGAAAACGTTTTTTAAGGAGAGATTAAAATGAAGATTATTAGCCAACAGTAGTAGTTCATTTTACAGTAAAAATATATTATAGTGCATAAAATGGCTCTCTACTCAGTCATAAACTTGCTTGAAAAACTACTATGTGTAGGGCGCGGTCAGCTAACTGCTACGCGGCAGGAAGCTGAAATAAGCTGAGTCATCCTTCCTGTGGCCACTGCGCTTGCGCTAAGTATACTAATGAGGTTTTAAAGTAGCGACCTATCCGATGCTGGCTCACAAATCGCACCATCGGCGAAAGCCAATCACAGAGCGACACATGTTCTTAATCCCTATATAAGCAGACTGCTATAGGATTGCGGGGTCTTCCTTCCATCTTTTCTTTAACCAAGCTGTGCTCCAATAAAGTGTGATACGAGAAGAATCTTGCGTGTGGCGACTCGTCATTCTGCTGGTCGGAGGCGGCTCGCCGCAACTATGAGCTTATGCGATAGGTAACATTGGTCTAACAGGCTTATCTTTTATCCCATTTTGTTAGATTATTAAAAAAAATTTTTTTAATACTTTAAAAATAGAACATATAATTAGTGAATGGGAAACATTTGAAGGTTATTAATAACAGCCAAAAATCAATGATGTTATTCAACTCCAAGACCATTTTGGGGGGAAAATATTATCTTATCAATATCTGTTCTTTAATGAGATATTTTTTCCCTCTGTATCTATAGTCAGTTCAAGTTCAGAAAACTGCCTTTCAGAGGGAGGAAACTGAGAGGGCTTTGTTTGTGGCATTTTTAAAAGACTCCAAGTCATAATACAGATTATCCTTGTGGAAATGTCTACATATTATCCAACATCTAGAGCTGTGCTGACCACATTTCAAGTTCCTAATTGCAGAGAGAAATTTCTGCCACCACTGCAGAAAGTTCTACCGGATAACACTGCTGCAGAGAGTCAGAAATGGTAGTAAATATTTTAGTTGTTAGACAGCTTATCAGTATACATCCAGATATTTGGTAACATATAAAAGGAACTATGAGTTATTTTCCCCAAGAAATTTAGAGCTGACAAAAATAACTTACAAATTCATTTATCAAAATTTTAATAAAAATTCATTAATATGCTAGGCACTAGGTTAGGCAAAAGTGAATGAAGTGTGATTTTTTTTTTAACCCTGAGTGATTACAGTCTTGTGGATAAGCTGGACAAGTATCCAATCACTATATAATGTGAGTTTTGCTCTAATGAGATCATATACTAAACAAAGAAGGTATTAGCTCTGTCTGGAGGAATTGCGGAAGACCTCAAATAGGAGATGATAGTTGAGCTATTATATTAAAAAGCTATTTTGAAAGGATGTGAAATAGGAATACGAAATAAAAGGCTTCATCTTTCTTGATGTCTGTATAGGTAAATTTGGGACTAGCCCTGAACCTGAGGCAGGACACTTCACCAACATTTTGTAGCCTGCACTTGGGAATCTATATCCACTGAATACCATTCTAGAGCCACATACCAGGTTTTAGGGATATGACTCGGCCTAATGTACAGGTTTTTTTGGGAAATCCCAGGCTACCAACTAGAGCTGCTATAACCCACAGTGTGATAGACATGAAGGGATTAAACAGTAGAGCCTGCACACTCCCGAGCTCCTGCTGCCAGGCCACGATGAATGGTATAACCTGGGGGATGTCGCAGGGCTGCAGAGCAGGTGGCTCCATTCTCAGCGGGACTCTTCTAGGTTTGTACGTGTCCCTCCCGCCATCACAGCTTGGGGGGATGCAGGTAACGCCCCAGGGACTGTGCACTGGGAGAATAAACGAGTGGGGGCTCAGGCTGAGGGCACTCTCTGATGGCCTTCCCGCACGAACGTAGTAGGGCAGGTGGGAATCCTGGAGGTGGGTAAGGGGTCCAGGGAGTATCAGAACAGAGACTTTACTATACTGGTTAAACACAATCACCAGTTCCTTCAGCGAGAAAGACTGGAAGTTATTTAGCCATTGTAGTATGTCGTCTATAGATTGCTATATGTCTTTGTATCAGTCAGGGTCCAATCAGAGAAGCAGAACCATTAGGAACTATATCTGTAACAATCAGAGATTTGTTATAGAGATCGGATTTTATGCAATTGTGGGAGCTGGGAGCTCAGGAGGAGGGACTGAACCTTGTGTCAGTTCTGTGTCTGATGTTGAGGGAATGGGTGTCTTGCAGAAGCTGGGAGCCTCCGTCATGTCGCTAAACACACTCCAGGCCCAGGAGCTGGAAGTAAGGAAGAGGGTCCTGGGAAAGATGAAGCAGCTACTTTCCACCAACGAGGTAAGAAAGCAGATAAATGACAACGTGTGTGAGCTACAAAAATAGCTGCGGCTTCACCTCCGTCCTCCAAATCTCACGCAATAATCTCTCCTGGGCCTAACCAGAGATACACAGGAAAGAGAGCTCTAGGAAATGCAGTTCAGCCCGGCCAAGCTGACACACTGCAAAGTCAGCACCTCCTTAGGGGACGGTGTTTCGGTCACAGGCAACAATCTCTGGTTAACTTCATAGAACCATGTGTTAAAACAACCAAAGACCGCTTTAGGTATTTATAGAGAGAAATACTTAAATGGAGTAGATTCTGACGATTCTACTTGAGTCTGGTGCTCCAAGTGGGCAAAACCAGATAAGTATCACTTCTTAGATGATTTTAACTTGGTGAGGAAAGGCCTATGGAATGTTGACCTTCACAGCCACATAGACTTGGCTACTTTCCTCGTGATGGCTAAAATTACAAATCATATGTAGATTTCTTCATAAGTATGCAAAATTAACTAAGTAGGAGAAAATGCCTAGATAAAATTCTTAGGTATTTATTGACAGGTACCCATGACGTTGGGAGACTTCCCTGTGCATGAAAATTCGTATGAACCACATAAATATATCTCACTAAACTCAAACTAAATGTATCCCCTACTCAGCCTCTGCTTAGCTGGATCTCAAAATGCCTAGGCACTCTAAAAGCAATGAACCTGAAGGGAAGTAGGAACTGAAAGAGATAGTGGTCTTAACTGATTGTGGTTTAAATTTCTCACTTTGTAAACTTTATAAAACTATCTAAACATGTAAAATCATTACCAAGTCTCTTGGGAACCATGAAAGTGAAGTACAGTCATCCTTCTGTATCTGAGAGGGATGGGTTCCAGGACCCCTAGAAGATGCCAAAATCCACGGATGTTCAAGTCCTTTATGCAAAATGGTGTAGTATTTGCAATATAACCTGCACACATCCTCCTGTATACTTTAAATCATCTCTAGATTACTTATAATACCTAATGAAATAGAAATGCTATGTAAATAGCTGTAAATAGAATGCAAATGCTATGTAAATAGCTGCTATTTACAGGAGTATGGCAAGTTCAAGTTGTGCTTTTGGGAACTTTCTGAAAAATTTTTTCCTGAATATTTTCCATCTGCTCTTAGTTAAATCGATAGACGCGGCCCCTGTGGATATGGAGGAGAGCAGCTGTACACAGAAGCTTAAGCTTCTTTAGGTCTGTGGTCAATCTGCCTCTGGCTCATGCTTTATTATGATTAACTGTGAAGTCCCTGAGATCATCACCCACACCGCTTAGCACAGCTCTTAGCACATGTTTGTCTCTTATTAAAATTTGTGGAAGGCAAAATAAAATGAAGGGGAGAGAGAAAGAAAGAGGAAGAGAGAAGGGGGAGGGGGGAGAAGAGCAAGGGAGCAGGGAAAAGGGAAGAAAAAAGGAAGATAGCAAAGAAAAAGAAAGGGAGGAAAGGAGGAAAGAAAGAGAGAGGGAGGCAAAAGGGAAAAAATGTGCAAGTCCATTGAACCAATTAAAGACAAGTCCTGGACCAGATTCCAGGTAACTAGTCAGTTCCTTGAGAAATGAAATAAAGCCAAGCATATATTTTGTAGACCTATACTTTAATCCATGATCATAAAAGTAGTAGAAATATTCTGTATCATATAAATGTTCATTAGAGCATGATGTAGAAAAATAATAGTTATGAGAGAAAAAGAGTGTTTTATTCTTTAAAAATACCTTATACAAAGCAGATTTCTACAGATTGGTAGGGTCTTAATGAAGGTTTATTTTTAGAAGTTTTGATGTCTAATATTTCCTTGTTTAGTGATCAAATATAAACTATATCAAGGGTCAGGAATGATTATTTTGGAGTCTCTGAATCCCAAGGGGCCTGTGGCTCGAACTCAAGTGGTCTGTCAACTCAGACAGGAAAAAATAACAATTTTTTCCAATAATTTCTAGCTGTAGTTTAGCATGTCCTTCAAGTATGAACGGAGGCAGCAAACAATAACGTTAGCCTGTGACACATTTTCAAATCACATCACATGTTGTCAATATCTCAAATATGTTGCCTCTATTTACTAATTTGAGATCATAGTAGTTATTAGACTGGCCACTAGATGTTGTTCCTTAATGTGTTAATGAAGAAGCATACATGTCAGTCTATTTCACATTTGTCATTTTAAATCTTTTGGTAACTATATGTCAATATAGTTTCTAATTCTAGTGTTTTATTCCATACACTTAAAAACATTATTACAAAAGGGGTACATAGGTTGCCAAAGAGTCCCATGTGCACAAAAAGGATTAAGAAACCCTGCCTTTTGCAAGGACAAAATGTCTCCTTCATTGCAGTATTTTTTTCTGGTTAGTATTCTAGAGATGAGAATGGAAAATAATGGTGATTACAGGCGTAGTACACAAGGTGGCAGCACATCACAGTTTAATTTCCCCAAATCAAATCCCCTCATTCTCGGCGGTATCTGGATGCTTCAGTGTAAACAAGGAGATGACTAGGATGTAATACATTTTCAAAAAATAGCCTTTGATACTTTCCGCCTTCTAATGTATATTGGTATGCTCTTTTTGTGTGTGTGGTATATTGCACACATTAAAAAAAAGTTTCTCAGTTTGAGAAACAGAATAAGAAATGAAGTTAAATTATTTTCAGGATTTTCTCTAAATGTTTCCTAAAAACAAAACGAAAAACCCCAGCAAAATTCAAAGAACCAAAAAAGACACTACCCTTATGAAGAAAGACTTTTTTCTTAGTATAGGCACCATGGTTTCATTTACACTAATCTGTTCTATGTGCCCAACGGGTAATTGGTGAATTACATAAAACTTTTTCCACCGGCATACACCATTTGTAATCACATAGCCTCTCTGGTTTAAACTTATGAGTTTTTTTTTAAGTGAAAACAAAAGGAGCAGGGAGGTAGATGTGGTAAAATGCTCTTGGGTGGAATAGGTTGAAAATTGGCTGTGATGCCTCATTTCTCCCATGATACCTCCAGTGTTTCCTTTTGCTTTCCTTTTTTCAGGACTGGGCATGGAGCTCACGTGGGCACCTCAGGGAATAACGTGCCTGGAAGAGCCTTCTGGAAGGATGTGAGAGTCATGAGAACGAGACCTGGAAAGCTGAGCTGCCCCGGCCGGATAGAGCCCAGGAAAATGAGGACCCAGCCAGTCTGCTCCCAGACAGACAAGAGAGGCCAGCTGAGGCCGGGAGAATCACACAGCCTTAGTCTCTGAGCTGCACCTGATTCTAGCTGTATGAGCAATAAACGCTTATTCTTTTTAGCCACTGAGTTTTAGGGTAGTGTTTTAGGCAGCATTGTTTGTAGAATAGGTAAGTGTTACAAACTATTCTTTATTACTAACTAAACATGAGCGCATGCCCAACCCAGGTGATACGTTTTAACAAAATGTAGAAACTATGAAATACCTAGCGTTCTATTGCATCAGCTATTTTGGCCTGTGTGATGTTTCCTGAGAGCCTCTAGCCATTTAGTAAACCTAGTTTTGACTTTAGGTACAGGAACTGGGGGTGAAAGAAGAAATTGAGTATGGCCATGGGGAGGAACTGTTATAATGAATGTTTGTGTCCCCGCAAAATTCATATGTTGAAACCCTACCCCCCAGTGGGTCTGTATTTGGAGATAAGGGCTCTAAGGAACGAATTAAGGTTAAATAAAATCATAAGGGGGGTGCTCTCATAGAATTGTCTTCGTAGGAAGGAATATCAGAGATCAATCTCTTTCTCTCTCAAGCCCTGTGTGCACACAAAGAAGAGTCATGTGAGAACACAAGGCCAGCTGCTTACAAAACATGCCTCGGAACGAAACCTACCTTGCTGGTACCGCGATCTTAGACTTCCCAGCCTCCCAAACCGTGAGAAATAACGTCTGTCGTTTAAGCCGCCCAGTCTGTGGTATTTTGTTATGGCAGCTCCGTTGACTAACAGAAAGTGGGAAGACAAAATAGAGGGAAAGTCATGATGACTCGTAATTATGGTTTCCCAGCATTCCGACGACTTAACAAATGTAATTTCATTTAGTCTCCCACCACAGCCCACTGGGGGGGATACTATTCCTAGCATCCTCATTTTATTCACAGATCAGAAAACTAAGACAAAGAAAGGCTAAGTAACATGACCAAGTTCTCATGGTTAGTAAGTGGCCGAGTTGGAATTGGAATCAAGACGTCTTGTCTCTAGAAGCTGTGCTCTTAATTGGTACTTTATACTGGCAAATGAAAGCGGGGAAAGAGAGAGGAAAGAGAAAGTGGTTTATAGGATGAGCCCAGGGCTGGTGATCAGAATCTGTTGTCGTCTCCCAGGCCAGCTTTCCCTGACTCAGAGTTTACTCCTGAGGGATACATCTCCAAGCTGGGTGTCCCTGGAGGCCCAGCGCACTGTGACATCTTGTCTGTGGAGATCTGCACAGGACTTTGGAATATGTCCTCCATTCTCTTCTTCCATTGCTTTCATAGACTGAATTGCTAAATTTTTTCAGGACCCCTGGGCCCCCACCCCCAAAAGCTGTCTTTGGGTAGAAAGAGGATCACGTCAGCCTTGCTAGACTTGATGATATATGCTGTGTAGTCTGGTACGTGATGACACACTGCCACATGCAGCATGCTGCTCTGATGAAGATATGAATAGGCATGTTTACTATCGTAAAACAAAATTCTATGTACACTTGGAGGCATGAACAAGAAGGTATTTAAAAGCATTTATCTAGCTTTGCTCCACACTGAATACATATAGGATGAAGTTACAAATTGCTCACGTTAATTCTACCTGAAAGGTACAAGATTAACTTGTTGATGATTAAGTCTCCCATATATATATATATATATATATATATATATATATATATATATATTTTTTTTTTTTTTTCCGGTACGCGGGCCTCTCACTGCTGTGGCCTCTCCTGTTGCGGAGCACAGGCTCCAGATGCACAGGCTCAGCGGCCATGGCTCACGGGCCCAGCCGCTCCGCGGCATGTGGGATCTTCCCGGAGCGGGGCACGAACCTGCGTCCCCTGCACCGGCAGGTAGACTCTCAACCACTGTACCACCAGGGAAGCCCGATTTTTTAAATAAATTTATTTTATTTATTTTTTGGCTGCGTTGGGTCTTCGCTGCTGTGCACGGACTTCCTCTAGTTGCAGCGAGTAGGGGCTACTCTTTGTTGCGGTGCGCGGGCTTCTCACTGCGGTGGCTTCTCTTGTTGAGAAGCACAGGCTCTAGGCACATGGACTCAGTAGTTCTGGCTCACAGGCTCTGGAGCTCAGGCTCAGTAGTTGTGGCGCACGGGCTTAGTTGCTCTGCGGCATGTGGGATCTTCCCGGACCAGGGCTCGAACCCACGTCTCCTGCATTGGCAGGCAGATTCTTAACCACTGCACCACCAGGGAAGCCCTCGGTCTCCCATACTTAACTGGCTACATAGGACAGCTGAAATATGGGAAAAAAAAAAAAAAAAAGTTTTCTCAGGCTTCCTCTTGGCCAGAGAACGAGCTGCTCCTGTCTTCATAGCAGGAAGGTATTGTAAAATTCTGCAGCATTCTTACAGACCAGCTGGAGAAGCCAGGCTCACTGAGAAAATTAGTCCCCATCCTCCAAGTTCCCCTCAATCCCAGAGCATATAGAAGGGAAGCAAGACAATTTCCATGCTCATTGAGATGCGTGAGGGGGGGTCTGACAATTGAGAGCCACTGTGCCTGCCCGAGGGTTTCTATTTTAGAGAGAGTGGATGATGTTGTGAGGCTCCAGGGTGACTTGATAATATGGAAAAGTTTCAGGGACTGGCAGTCAAGGGCAAGAGCAAGGTGGAGGCAATGAAGAAGGTGGGGAGACCATGACCTGACCGTGAAAGAGAACAGATTCCTCTAGTTACATCAGCCTCAGCAGCCAGTGCAGTGAGAACAGAGAATGTCCCAACATGAGGCTGGTCGAGCTGCAGCTTCAAGAAGATCAGTAAAGACGAGAGGCCAGTGCACAGATCAGCTGGGCGCCCTCCTCCCCATTTTAAGACGTTACGTAAAATTCTTCCCGGATCCAGCCTCTCGTCTGGGGAGAATGAGGGAAAGGGAAGAGAAGAACAGATCAGAGGGGCCGCCGTCCAGAAATGAAGTTTGGAGTTTGAATAGACCAACTGAATTCCCAAGAGACCAGGAGTTAAGCCGGATGTGATTACATTGTTTTAATTAGCTACTGTCAAGACGTCTCACGCCCTGCCTCCCATCCCCGCGTCCAACCAAGTGACATAAGGAATGTGTGAGCAAAGTGGGCTCAGTTATCAACTAGAGATTTCTACCTTCATGAGTGGCAACTATAAAAATAAAGCTGCTACACGTCTAAAACACAAGCTACTTTCTTTCCAAGAATCCAGAGTCTGCTACACATTAGCCGTACCTGCATATGCGGCAACATTTGTCTGTTGCTACAAATTCTCTCTGATATCCGCATTACGCGATATCAACGGGTCACAGGGAAAGGAGTGTGAAAATAGTCGTTTGCACATCTAAATCGACATATCGAAAAGGTACTCATACACTTACGTTGTAGACATGAAAAGTATTTTTCTAAAATGCAGTGAGAAGATAGTAAATATTTAATACATTTTTACTAGTTATCTATTGCTACATAACAAAGCACTTAAAACTAAGTGGGTTAAAACAACGTTTATTATCTCATGGTTTCTGGGAGTGCAGAGTTCAGTGAGGGCACAGTTGGCATGGCTGGTCTCTGCTCTGCAATGTCTGGGGCCTCAGATCAAAGACTTGAAGGCGGAAGAGCTAGAAGCATGGAAAGCCTGACTCGAGCTGGAGGATATACTTCCAAGGTGGCTCTCACATGGGGGCAACATGGTACGGGGAGAGTTGATTCCGCCAAGGGCTGCGTGAGCGTCCTCGTGACGCCGCAGCTCTCTTTCCCCAGAGTGGACTCTCCACGGGTTTAGGGAAGTTGCCCTAGATTTGGGGACCTATCTTCAGAAGTCTCACACCATCACTTGTGCAGTATTCTACTGGTCACACAGGGCAGCCTGACTGTGCGTGGGAGGAAACTACACAGGGGACTGTATTAGTTATCTCCTGCAGTACTAAAAATTACCCTGAAACTTAGCAGTTTAAAGCAATAAACACTTATTATTCACAGTTTCCGTGGATCAGGAATACAGAAGCAGTTGAACTGGATGGTTGTGACTCAGAGTCTCTCATGAAGCTGTCTGCTGGGGCTGCAGTCATCTGAGGTTCAACTAGGGCTGAAGAATCTGCTTCTGAGCTCCCTCGTTTGCTGGTAGACTTCAGTGCCTTGCCGTGTGGGCCTCTCCCGAGGCTGCCTAGGTGTCCTTACGACGTAACACTGGCTTCCCCCAGAGTGAGCCATGCAAAAGACAGAGCCCAAGACAGAAGCCACAGTCTTTTATGACCTGATCTTGGAAGTGACATACGGTATTAGTTTCCTGTTGTTGCTGTGACAAATTACCACAAACTTAGTGGCTTACACAATGCAAATTTATTATCTTACAGTTCTAGAGACCAGGTGTCCAAAATGAGTTTCTCTGAGGTAAAATCAAGGTGCTGACAGACCTGTGTTTCTTGCATGGACTTCAGAGGAGAATCCATTTCCTTGCCTTTTTCCAGCTTCTAGAGGCCATCTGCATTCTATAGCTCACGGCCTTTTCTCTATCTTCAAAGTTGTCAGTGTAGCATCCTTAAGTCTCTCTGACTCTGACTCTCTCCCATCTTTTTTTTTTTTTTGCGGTACGCGGGCCTCTCACTGCTGTGGCCTCTCCCGTTGCGGAGCACAGGCTCCGGACGCGCAGGCTCAGCGGCCATGGCTCACGGGCCCAGCCGCTCCGCGGCATGTGGGATCCTCTCGGACTGGGGCACGAACCCGCATCGGCAGGCGGACTCTCAACCACTGCGCCACCAGGGAAGGCCCTCCCATCTTTTAAGAGCCCTTTTGATTACATTGGACCCACCCAGATAATTCAGGATAATCTCCCCACTGTAAGATCTTTAATTTAATCATATCTGCGAAGTCCCTTTGGCCATGTAATTTATTCAGCATATTCATAGCTTTAGGATGTGGGGATAAGGATGTAGACATATTTTGGGAGTTACTATCCTCCTACCACACACACCGTCACTTTTGCTATATTATACTCATCACACAGACCAACCCCGGTACAACGCAGGAGGGGACTACTTACGGGTGTGAATATGAGGAGGTTGGGGTCATTGGGGATCATTTTGGAGGCTGACTAGCATTACATTTTTATAGGACTGTTACATAACTTTGAAAACTGTTAGTTATTGCTTCAAAATACGATTCTGAAATAAAAATCCTATACAACTATTAACATTTTATTCTTGTTAGACTAAGAATAATAATAATAACGATAAAATCACACTGACTACCATTACTGGTTGAGTGCCAAATTTGTGCTGGGCACAGTATAAGCATTTACCATAACACCTCTAAGTTATGTAGCATCGTGAAATATGAGAAGGTCACTATTTTTATCATTTATAATGACACATATAAAGAAACGGGTTCAGAGAAGCTAAATGATTTGAGTAAGTTCGCACAGAGGAGTAGGTGGAGAGAGAAGGTTTGAATGGAGTTTGGTCAGGTGTCAGGATATGTGGGGTCCAGTCCCGCTTTGCCACTAACTACCTGTGATCCTATATAAGTGACTTCAATAACCAAGTTTTCTTTGTTGACGTTAACTGGACTATAGATTCCTTAACTGTATGATCCTGAAAGAATAAAGAATGAAGGTATTCATACAATTTATTATCAACCTACCAATGGCACTTTTGTGTAACTAGAAGCTCAGTATGTGTACAGAAGCTCGACTTCGAAACTTAGGCTGAAGACAA